CTGCGGGGCCTGCCCGGGCCCAGGGCAGAGCGGGGCCGCCGTGGGCAGCCTCTGGAGACCCTCCCCAATCCTGGATGTGACAGTCGCTATTGGATGGTCAGATCGGGATGAATGTGAGCTCGGGGGGTGTCTGTGAACCCCTCTGCTCGTAAGAGGGTCAGCCACGAGGTCAGAAAGGGTGTCGGGGGTGTCTTTTCACCCTTTCAAAGGGTGTCGGTTTGCTCGGTTGGCAGGGGCTTTTCCTTCCCTTCAGCAAGGCACACTTGCCCATGTTCACAGAATGTAAAGGAGTTGGAATAATGGCCCTTAAAGATCATCTAATCCCAACCCCCCCGCCATGGACACGGACACCTCCCACTAGACCAGGTTGCCCAAAGTAAGTCCCCTTTCAGTTTGTACCCATTCCCCCTTGCCCTATCGCTACAGTTCCCGATGAGGCCCTCTGTGGCTGCTCTTTAGCCCCCTTTCACATACTGTAAGGTTGTTAGGGAGGTTTCCACTTTCTGGACAGCCTCAACTGTCTCAGCTTGTCTTTGTAGGGAAGGTGCTCCAATCCTCTTATTTCATACAGTTGCTGTCAGCCCTTCTCCTCCAGCCCTACCCTTGCATATGCCCACTGTTCCCACCCAGCTTGGTGTCCTAGGCACGTTTGATAGCAATTCACCTCCTCCAGATTACACATAAAGATGTTAAACTGGACACATTCCGGAATGGATCCTTGCTGAGTTCCACCTGTAACTGCCATGCAGCTGGAGTAGGATCCACTGGCTTCTATGCTCTGAGCTCAATTGTTCCACCAGTTTTTACTGACATACTGCCCAGACTGCAATGTTCTAATTTTGGACACAGTTGCAAAAATACTGCCTTTGTAGTGTCAGGGTTATGGCAACAGACCAGACCAAACACAAGACACAACAAAGGAAGAAAATGGATAAAGTACTGCTAAAAGGCCAGGGAAGATGCACAAGGTGAAATCTTTTCCATGGAAGCTAATACTGAACATAATTTCTGTAAATAACAGCTGTAGAAGAGGCAAAGCTTTACCAGGTAATGACAGGAGCCTTAAGTGAAGCTTATGCACTGCAAACAACTAAAGACATTTGAATTTAAAACTGAAATGAGCTCTACAGTATTAGAATGCTGCCAAGCCCACTCACCACCCATCAGTTATGGGGGGAAAGAAAAGAGAGATATTTTGTGTCCCTGGCCTGAGAAAGTGCAGCTCTGCAGTGCAGAACATCTGCAACTCAGCTGTTTCCTTAAGAACATGGCAAAAACGAAGTTCATTAGTGTGTCAAGACACCTGCTTACCCAAAGCTTGTTTGCACAAAGGCATTTAAATATAAGTTTTACTGTTTACGGAGAGGACTTGATTTTATTTAGTTCATAGGGGCACTGTCACACTCAAACTACAGTGTTCTCTCCTGCAAATGGCTGAGCAAAATGCAATAGTTATTCCAGTATTTGAAACACTTCTGAACAGAACCAAGATGTGTCCAGAGGTAAAGCTGGAGAAGATGGTACCTAAATAGATGAGTACCCTCTCTTCTGGAGAAGATGGTTCCTAATGTTCCATGCACACACATCCAGTTTGTTTATACAAATGGATTAACTGGATGTATTTAATGTATTTAAGTGGTTAATAAAAGACTTCCCAGCACTGTAAGGGGTAGTAATGTAATGTAAGGGGTTTTCATCTGACGTGGGACTAAAAGCAGAACTGCACATTTTTACATATTCAGGGTTATTTTCAGAGGCTCTTCAGTCAAGGCTGAGGCCCTGAAACCTGTAGCCTTGATGAGACTGATGCTTTTAGAAGATCCTGGTTTTAAGATACTATGAAAAGACCCTTCATAAAGTGTTCACTTTCACCTGTTACATCTGTATAGCTACTACTGCATTTCTAGGATCATGCATCCCTTGGGCTCGTTTGCTCTGCAGCATTTTGGGATTAGATATAAAATATTAACAGAATTACAAATTTGATCACTAAGATGCAGAAGCTAGAAAGCCACATTTACTGCAGTTCTCACATTCTCCTCTTCTTCCATGTATGCTGAAAACAGATCTTGTCTCATGTCTAATGTGTTACAAGAAATTGCATAGTGAGAGAAGGTGGTATTTCTAGTCCTTTTGCACTGTCGGAGTGGTTTAGAAAAGAACTTTCCTTTCTTGAGGTTTAAACACCTAATGCAAGTAAGTTTGACAACTGCACAACCACATTTGGCCACATTAAGACATGACAAAAATTGAGTGCCAGGGTTTGACACAAGCACTTCATAGCTTCAGACTAAGTTCCCCTGCATGAGTGCTGCTATTGATGGCTGTTCTTTTGTCCAGTTCTGCCTTGTACCTGGATAGTTTCAGTTTCTAGGTGCTTCTAGACAGACACAGCTGCTGTGGGACACAGTTCCCCTAAAGAGTACAACACATCAGCGTTGTTCTTCAGCTGCCAGGACGGAGCCAACACAGATCATGGATGGTGTGCCTCAGATCTGGCAATTCATCCAACTGGAGCTGCAGAAATTCATGCTGGATCTCAAAACAGAAGGTGGATGCAGAACTGACAGTGTGCAAGACAGGGCTCCTCTAGATGTCAGTCTTTTATTCCACTCTGTTTCAAGCCAACACTCATGGAAAAGCAGTTCCTATTAAAGATGTGTTCTTTCCTTCATCCTTGTGGAACAGGGGCAGCTCAATGTCTGCAAGCAAGGTGTACTATCCTGCTGCACCTACTGAACACAGGATACAGAAGAGTTACAAAAGGAAAATATACAAGACATCAAACACCTTCACAGACAACAGGTAGGCTGCTTCCACTCTGCATGGCCTTAGAGCAGGTAGGTTGCACAGGAGGTAGTTTTTGGCCCCTGCTATCCTAACCCTAACCTAACCCAGCTGAGAGAAGTAAACTTCTGTGTATCATTCAGTTCAACTGGGCAATACAGTTTGCTTAATGTTAGAGCTGTAGTTCTTCTTTCCTAGATTAAATGCCTCTTTATATTACTAGACTATCTCCAGTATCCTAAATGTAGCAGAGGTTAGGCATGGAGTAGTAGATTTTTGAGGAAATGCTGTATTAAAACTTCCCTTCTCTATGGAGGTTCCCTACATTTTTCTCCTTAGCACAATCATGTGGGTTTTATGAAACAGTTTTATAGTAACTTGGATTAATTCACACTGCAAACTTCCTGAACTGATGAACTTAATAAAGCAAAAAATTAGCTTTATAAATACTAATTTATTCAAAACTACCAGACAGTAACTTGTGCTATTTACAACAAAAACCCCAGACCTCTGGTTTTGGTACCTTTTCTTCCTGATGAGCCAAGCAGATCACCAGGTCTTTTCAGCTGGCCTCTACAGTGGGCAGGTTTCCAGTAACATGGGCTACAAAACACCTGAGCAAGTGAACCCCTGAGAACTCCACAGAACTGTGGAAACAGAGGCATAGATGTTCAGTGCCGGATATTGCTGTGTCTTGGAGTAATAAAGGCAAACAGCCACTGGCTATGTTCAATTACACATCCCGCAGTACACCTTGGGAAGAGCTGCACTTTGTCTATTACAGCTGTCACTGTTACCAGAACTCCAAACAAAATGTCAAAGCCTGCTACCATGCAGCACAAGGACTCCTGCCCCACTTTGAGAAAGGCCAAAGGAAGAAGCACCCTTGGATATGAACTTCACTCACTTGAAGAGAAGGAAAGGGACATTTCCCCATCAGCAGCCCACCCTTTATTCTTGGGGCACAGAGAGGTGCTGCCTCTAGAGCAGACAGACTTGTTTTAGGTATCTTGCCCTACTGAACTCATCGCCAGAAAGGGAACAGCAGCAGTGGAGACGAGCTTTACCTGACCAGGAACAGCTGAGGAAAGCATCCCTGAGTGCTCTCCTTTACAAACTCCTGGATCTCCAGTACATTCTTTAACAATACTCCTCTGGAAGCTCGGTCAATTTTTGTTAACACCATCTGCATGTGGAAAGGGAGGATTAAAAGAAGAAAGATTATTTTGCTGTTAACCTGGCACATCTGTAAGAGTCCTAGACCATCTTACAAAGCAGTCTGAAAGCTCTGGTCATAAGTAGGGGGAAAAACAGTCTAGCACAGTTCACCAAAACATTTCTATGGCCTGTATAAGGAGTGGGCTTTTTCAAGCTGCTCAAGCTGAGCATTGAAAAAAAAAATATCTATTTTTAAACCACACAAAAACCCCTTAAATCCCACTTGTCTCCCTCAACACACTATAAACCTATTTTATAAACAGTAAAGGGTGTAGGGTTACTGTTTAGGTAGATCAACTTGCATAAGCTCTGGTGGAGGGTACACACCTTTCTAGATTACCTGTACCTTATAACCAACCCAAGAATGGATCATTGCCTACCACATAAGGAGTCCCAAACTCTTCCAGCATCTCTACTGCAATGTGATCTGTTTTCTGGAGTCCAACTACACCATCAACTAATAGGAAAGTCCTCTTCAAGCTGCCAGAAATACAAGCAACAGTAATTGTCACCATTATTTCATGCCTGCTCTGCTACTTCCAAATTCATAAGCAAAACCAAGTAACATGGGATCTGGAGATAGGATGAGCCAAGAAGAGCCATGAAGGGAAACTGAGAGTCAGCATGGAGCAGTACCTCAATCTTTCCTGCTGTTTTGGTATGTCTGAGCATGAACGCTGTAGAAGCTTCCAGGGAAATGATGTCAGAACCAACAGATGGAAGCAGCTACCCATCTACATTTTCTCCCCTCATTACATGACACTTTATAGGGGTGTCTGTCTGGCTCTCTCTGTGCTGTGAGGTACAGGTAGGTCCCTTACTTGTGCCGTTCCTGCAGATAGGCCTCCACCATCTCAGCAAAGTCCTGCGGGGCGCGATAGCCGTATCCTGGCATATCCACCAGAGTAAAGTACTTCCCTACTCTGAAGAAATTCATCTTCTTGGTGTGGCCCTGAAGAGAGGATTTAGACAAGATGAAGTAGAGGGGTGGTTTTGAAAAAAGCTGCTTTAAGCAATGTACTAGGAGATGCTCCGCAAAATACCTCTACCAGGCCCCTGCTCCCACAGAATGCTTTAAACTGCCCAGTCTCTTACTTGTGTAGCAAATCTACATGGCTGTATCCATAAAACAGACTAAAAGTACTTTAATGGGTCTCTGAGCTTGGTTCTTCTCAAAAGGCTTTACAGCATACCTGCTCAGGTTGTGCAGCTCCTTTGTCTGCCTGAAGAGCTAGGCTGGGCTCCTTCTGTCTCTTCCTGGGCTAGACCAAGGCCAGTGCTAGCCATGAGGATGGCTACCAGAGCTGGCACTTACTTTTTGTCATTTCAGGCTAGTCAAGAGCTTCTCAGCCCTACCCTCTGGACTGATACCAGCTTATGACCCTGTCACGGTTTAAAAGACAGACCCAAAGGGAGGGAAGCTAAAAACGTCACTCACAGGAGTTTTTGACACTCTAACTTCCACTTCTGGAGCCAGTGAAAACAAGGCCCGGATTAAAGATGATTTCCCCACATTGCTTCGGCCGATGAAGCACACCTGCAGGGGGAGAGGCAGAGAGGGCACATCTATACCTACTCACCTCTCGCTGCCGCCAGGCCTGGTCACTTCCCAGCCCGTGCTGCCAGTGGTGTCCTGTGCCACGGGCATGTCAGGCTGCCTAGCTGCACAACGGGGAGCAATAACAAATAAGCGATTTTTGACAAAGCGGCAGGAAGTGCCCCGCATATGGCGCGGCGCTGACACAGCTGCACAACCAGCCCTTTACCCGCGCAGCTCAGCCCAGCCCGGGGTGGCCCGGCCGGGGGACGCCGCTGTGCCGGCCGAGGGGGCAGCGCTCGCCTGACCTCGGGCAG